CCCTAAGCCCTAAGCCCTAAGCCCTAAACCCTAAACCCTAAACCCTAAACCTGACCCCTAAACCCTAAACCCTAAACCCTAAACCCTAAACCCTAAACCCTAAACCCTAAACCCTAAACCTGACCCCTAAACCCTAAACCCTAAACCCTAAACCCTAAACCCTGATTTATATCATCAGCAGCATGGCTTAGGATTTGACTTTAGCGCCTCCGAGGCGGTGCATCAAAGCCTCGGGCTGCCGTCCTTCGCAGATCCAGGCCCGGCGAAGAAGGGGCTTAGGGTTTAGGAAGTTTAGGGTTTAGAGTTTAGGAAGTTTAGGGTTTAGGTTTAGGAAGTTTAGGTTTTAGGTTTGGGAAGCTTAGGGTTTAGGGTTTAGGGTTCGGGAAGTTTAGGGTTTAGGCTTTAGGGTTCAGGGGTTTAGGGTTTAGGGGGTTTAGGGTGTAGGGTTCAGCAAGTTTAGGGTTTAGGGTTTAAGGTTTAGGAAGTTCAGGGTTTAGGGTTTAATGTAGCCTCTTGCTTTTCTTATGGTACGGTTTTTGGGGCTTTAAAGGGGTGTGTATGGGGGCCTGAACAATTTGAAGCCGGGTCCTTTCAAGGGTTCCTTTCAGCACGTTTATTATGGTATGACGATTCTATGATATAGGTCATGTTTAGGTCGGCCTTTAGGGGCTGCGAGCGCTCAAGCCCGCCTGGTGGTTGATAGTTCGCACAAACTTTGACTGCTCCGGGAATCGCAGATGACAGGCCTTTACGAGGGCGGGACTATGGCACGCCGGATTCTGACCCTTTTCCTGCTAGCTCCACTCGATCAATCGTAGCTGCACAAGCACACGACTCTTGCGTGCATGTGTAACAAGCTGATAGCTTGCATGCCCCGCTTCCCGATGGAAGTTCTTTGAGATGTCGAAAAAGCTTCAATCATGATTTTGCATTACACGCAGTGTCGAAAGGCTCCAGACCTTGAACTCGGCGCTTCCGTGCCGACTGCATCAACGGGTCCTCTACTATCTTCCAGCTGTGTTGCATACGATAGTATAGTTCTAGTTCTCGTCCTCCAGCTGCCTTCGTCAAGGAATTTGCTAACTGTGCTTCTGAATGCACCCAACGTAGTTGTAGCCCTGTTTGTTGCTCAGATTCTTTGAGTCCCAGCATCTCTATGTCTGATCGCTTCTCGGCACCCTTAATCACGATGACTTCGTTCTGGAACTTGTCGTACACGTTTCGAGAGTCAGTGATTACACAGCCTTCCACACGAGACACCACTGTATTCGGCCGTCTCACGTCAACTTCACCGAAGAGGATCTCTGACAACTGGTACCTCGCAAAGTACAAGGCGTCTTCCCCGTTGGTAGCTGCTAAGGTCTCAGCAGCTCCTGGTGACCTGCAGGCCCTGTCCACCTTAGTAGAGTGCCAGCTGATGGGTGTCACACACCCAAGCTCGCCAGCCAGCAGCGCCTTAGTGCCCAGGCCAACAAAGATTCCTTGTGTGCTGCCTCCGTTGCAGCGATTTTGACTCGCTGCATCCACCCAGGCAAACAACATCACCTGGTCCTGTGGATGGAACTTGTGTATGAGCATCTTGTGTTTGCGTCGGGCCTTGGTGTAGCTCAAGAGCGTGTTCGCTCTCAGGACTGTACTAACAGTGCTGGTTCCCACTTCTGACAGGAGTCCTCAGCAGACAAGTGGGGTGCTGTTTGTTGGGCACACCAACTTAGTGAACCCAGGAGCGCTCGAAGTTGTCCTTTTTCACCCGCTGTCGTCTCTGAGTCTCTCTCCTTCCGACGAACTGCACCAACAGGAATCTCGGAAATTGAATCAATGTACTGTTCTTGCGAAAGTTCGAAGCCTGCTTCCGTCTGCTGGATCAAAACCCCGCATTGTACAAAAGAATCCTCTTCCCAGTCACTCCATTTAAACTTGGCCTTGATCTGATTCAAGATGGCTTGCCATTCCTCGTCATCATCACGTCCGCCAAACAAGAAATCGTCGACATGGCCAGAAATCATCCCTCGCAACTGGCCTTGTGGGCGCCATACCCAGGCGCAGGCGTCGGACCACAGTCGTTGTAGTCCCAGTTGCTCCAAGAACGATGCCATTGTTCTGTACCACTCCAAGGGAGCATCCACCAAGCCGTAGCAAGCCTTGCGTAGGCGTGTTATCGTGCCCTTCTCCAAGCCCATGGCCGTGCATATCTCATCGTAAGGGATGCAATGCAAAGTGTCCGGATAATCCCTGCCTTGCAAGAATGCTCCGGACACATCTCCTTTTCGAAGCCGCCACTGGCGCATAGCTGCTACTTGAAGCATCCTCTGACGCGTCTACCGCGTCATGACTGGAGCTGTGGTAGCGCGATGTTCATACGAAGGGTCTTGATAGCCCAACAAGACCGCCCTCGCCTTCGCCTTGTATAGGAGCCGTCATCACGCAACTTCCACGTCAGGATCCATCTCATCCCCACCGCCTGCTCCCTTGACGGGCGTAGGTGCTCCGGGATGGCCTCGAAGGCTTTGGCGCTTATGAAGTTTCGCACCTCAATGTCCTTTGCCTCGCGGAATTTCTGTAGATCTTCGGGGGAAGTTTGCGTTCGCACACTTCTACCGCACGTCGTTTGAAGGCTCCCACAAAGAAGTGCGTCATGTCCCTCGTCATCGCCTGTACTCCTCGCTTGCTCGTGGGCACGTCCACCTCCACGGTCACGGCGGCTGTCTCCTCACTCCAGTACGGGGACTCGTGTACAAGGAAGGCCTCTTCTGCCAGACTCTCGGTCCAGTGTTGGCTGGCTACTTCCCCACTCGTTGGGCTCGCCGAAGTCCGAAGTCGCTGTGGTTCGCGTTCCTCCACGTTGGGAGGATCCTCTTCCATGGCGTCTGGGTGCGCCATGCTCGTGGCGCGGTTGCTTGGCCCCGGTCGTTTCATGGAGATGCGTCGCGTGGGCGGTAGCTCTCGCTGTATATCCTGTGCGCACTGTCATTCCTCCACACTGGGGATTTCCTCGCTGACGTCCTCGAACTGGTTTCCCCCTATGGATTGAGCAACTCGTGTGAAGGTCCAGGGGATACTGTCATTCTCCACCATGGCCTCCACCAGCTCCTCACGATGTGAGGCTGGCCTTAGCTGCTCCGGTGCACATTTTATCAATGTGCGGCCTTGTACGCACCAGACTGAGCTCCCAGGTCGTAGATCTCCTTGTGCATCCCGCTTTGTCTCGGTAGCGAGGATCCTCGCTGGCCCCAGGAAGCGTCCTTGTTTCGAGCCTGGCTTCTTTTCCCCTGCCCAGACTCCTGTGTCAGCCAGTAGAACACCAGGTCCCCTGGTGTGTAGTGTCGCGTGGGTTGTGGCCGCGAATGTTGTGCACGATCCAAGCGCTCCTTAGTTCGCCAAATTCGCCAATCCACCATCGCCTTCTCTGCGATCGCCTGACGTTTCAAAAGAGCTTGGAACTCTCCAGAGGCATTCGTAGCCTGTAGCTCCTCAGGTAGCTGCTGCACCTCTTGAGTGAGGCGTCCCGTGGCATCTCGGCCACATCCAAATGCCAGCTGCATTGGCGAAAAACCACGTATCACATCCCTTTGGTTAAAAGTAAGTATTGCAGTAGCTAGCGCATCCTCGGGAGTAATCTGATCATCTTCATCTGCCAACTTGCTCATCACTTCTTTGACGCCCTTGATCGCCCCTTCACAAGCATTCATCTGCCAATGTGCTTCCCCAGGAATGATATCCAAGTAGATGTGATGTCTATCTTCAATTCCTCTAAGGCTTTGCTTCTGAAGGCACCCGCTGGGTCAAGTCGCAAAGTTTGTGGCTCGCCAAAATATTGTATCCAGCCCTCCCTCATGTAGTGTAAACATGCTGCTGCACTGGGTGTCTGCTTGGCGCCACGGGTCAAGATTCGAGCTACACGGTATCGTGAGTTCTCATCTATCAGCAACAGAAATTGTACATGTTCGCTTGTGGTCGGGTGACGCCAGTCACCGACATCACCCGCTAGGGTACTCCAACGTGGTGGGAGCGGCTCAAGCGATGACACATGTCGCGGTGTCACATGGCGTTTCTCAGCACATATCGGACATGAAAAATCTTGTGCCAATCGCAACACACTTTCACTGGCACCTCTTCGTCTCAAAGCCGTCACAAGGTGCCTAGTTGACCCATGTCCCGTGGCCGCATGAAGCTTATGCAAACTGCGCTTGATTCTCTCCTCTTCTTTCTGGCTCAACTTCGGAAGACTGGAACTACTTTCAGACATGTCCGCAGCGAATCCCTCATGCACCGTCGTGCTACCTGACTTGCACACATCCGGTGTCGCGAAGCCCTGTTGCCGTAAAACCCTTCGAACTCCTTTGTCGTACTAACATACCCCCAGACCATGCTATCATCGTTAAACACCCTTGTTTTCAGGGTTTGTGATCTGGCTCTCCATGGTCCAAAGTAATTCAAACAGGATTTTTCGGTAGTGTGTCGTAAAGTTTATACAGGGGGTAGCGTATCATGCCGTAGTTTCGCGAGCACTTTGCAGGGCTGCCTTTGTGGAGAGCTCCTTTGCAGATAACTGCTATACGGTTGATGATATAAATCCTGCATTACTTAGAAATGAGGAATATATCATGGCTCCCATAGTGTAGGGCCCATACCGTAATGCGGGGTTTATATCATCAACAGTAGTGAGTCCTTTTATGTGGTCGTGCAGGGTTCGATCTAGGGCTTACAGGTATGTTGCACTGGAAGCAGGCTTGGTATTTCGGGTTTGTGAGGTTCGATGCAGGTTTGAAGGACATATGTATACATATATATATATATATGGTCGCCCCCCCCCCGTTGACAGACCATGCCCTCTCAACTGAGTAGATGTGCATGGTGTGTCATCGGATGGGTGGCGATCAGCCCTCACAAACTCAATTCCAAAATTTCCAATATTCTCGCCCCTAACTTTCCGGATTTCCAAAAT